TTAAAAAAAAAAAAAAAAAAAAAAGAAACTCCGGAATATATATAATATAAGTTTTGAGGAAGGAGCAATCTGTGAGCGGTGAGCCGCTCAATGCAGAAATTTCTCTGCATGCAAGTTAACAACACTGAATGCAGGAATTTCTAAGTAAATTAATTAATGTTGATGCGTAAATTGCAGTAGCTAGCTGTTGTAGGAGCAGGGCCAACTTGGACTTGTTTCATGCTAGCAGATATATATATAAGAACAATATTTGCTGCAACAAAAATTATAAACAAACGGATATATCACATACATATATATAAGATGAACGTCGTCTAATTATATAAGTTTCGCGAAAAAGATTGGTACAAATTAAATGGGATGAGATAATATTGTTAAAGTTTCAACGTACCAACAAACAAGACGATGGAAGTTGAAAATATGAAGAATGAACGAACTGGATCAGAATATTATAGATGTGAGTGGTGATTGTACATGCATGCTAGTTTTAGCAAAACAATGTCAACAACTTTGGTGCCAATAAATCAACCTGTGGGTCGGAGCATATATATCATATGCTAGGTCACTGAACTCACTCACTCTCTCCCCCTCTCTCGGAGAGTTCGAGGGGTAAGGTCCATATAAAGTCTTTACAATACTGTCTGGTTAAATTGACTTACTAGAACAATATTCAATTATTCTTAACAATTTAGTTACATAAAAATATGATAAATAATCTGTTATATAGCCTGTTAAATTCACTAATATAAAAAAAATTGCATTATAATTTTAATTAATTAGGTGGATGCGATGGATACTCATATTTTGATACTACAACAGTTCTAATGGTGCGAAGCCGCTGATAACACATTTTTTTGGGACTTTGGGCTAAGTCAGAGAACAAGCTAGCTTTTTAGATTAACTAAGTGCTTGCGGAGGGGAATTATCTATTAAGGGCATGTAATCATGCTTAATCTTTAGAGTATAATTATTATACACGAGAATTCCATAGAAGAATAGGCGATTAATATGTTTGCGCTATTTGCTTCTTTCTTTTTCTCCCTTTGGGTGTTTCGTTCACCTTTTTCCTAATAATTCGTTTTTTTGATTCAGGTTTTAGATAAACAATAGCTAATCATTACTAAGTAGTTGCAAGTTGATGCACTTTCGTTTCTGTTTTTTTTTTAATTTTAAATATGGATATTGAGGTTCATCTTTACTACTATAGGATTGAAACGTAATTCATCAGAAAAACTTTGACACAATTTCTATTCAAAGCCTTTCAGACAATTATTGTTGAATTAATTAGTTTTGCCCTTCATGACATATTGATGAATCAAAACAAAAAGTACCTTCTAATCTTTTTAATTTGATAATCAATTCATGACATTGAGCGACTCAAATCCTTAATCACTGAATTTGAGCTTAATATATATATGACAGAAGCATATTATTAAATTTTCTTTCTTAGGAAACAGACAAGATATGTGGATCTAATTAACAATAATCACAGGACTTTACAAGTATGTTGTACAAAATTGATTATACTAGCTAGCTAGCTGATCATCCATTGGAAACTATAAGAACAATATTGCTCATGAAAATCTCATTAAAAGGTTCTAGTAAATAATACAACATAAAACAAAGTTGATTCCCTTTTTAGAAAAATTATGAAAAGGAGAAATCTATCCTTTTTATATTTGATCTTTATGCTACCAATTAAAGGACAAGTCATCTTTGCAGTTTGTACTGTATCTACTTAACTCAGATATCAGCGTAGAATAACATTAAATACGATTTTATCTCAAACAATTAATGTAGTGTAATTCAGTACCAGATCATCATAAATTTCAAATTTCAAATTTATTCATTTGTTAGTAATAATCCCACTCTTATCTGCTGTATTAACTTTCTTAATCAAGCCATATTACATGAATCTAAAGACAGCTCCACTCCTCCCTATATATACAGTACAATATCTTAGAGTCTATCATGTCATAGAGTACATTTCTTTTCCTGAATATTTCTGCAAGAAAACCCTAGTAAAAACATGAGCTCAGTTTCTTAGATTTTTTTTTTATTACATCCTTTTTAGCTCTTCTTCAAAAACCATTTTTTTCTTTTGTGAATTTTCAATCTTTGTGTGTGTGTTAAAAATGTCTCTACCATCTTTACCCTTTGAGATCATCATCTCAATTCTCTTACTTCTCCCTGCTAAAGCACTGATCAAATTCCTTGTTGCATGCAAATCCTGGTGTGCCATGATAAAAAATCAAGATTTCATCAAAAAACATTTTGAAACCTCAGTTGCAACAGGTAAAAACTATATTCTCTATGTGCCTGTCCAAAGCAAGCCAGAAAAGACCTTCACTTTGCTAAATGCCAAAAACTTTCACTATGAATCTGAATTAAGAGTCCCCTTTGACTTACCAGGCATGTTGAATTGCATTGTTGTGAGTTCAATCAATGGTTTAATTTGTCTCACTGATATTAGCCGTTTTGGTCATATCATATATTTGACTAATCCAATTATAAACAAGTACTTGATCCTTCCCCCTTCAAATATTTATGGTGATGAACTAGATCTTCAGATTATACAGGTGAGTCTTGGATTTGGTTATCATGAAAAAACCAATGATTTCAAAGTTGTTAGAATTGGCTTTGTTGAAAATGATTGTTATGATTGGTTAGATGAAGAAGATGATGATGAAGAGCCAATGACACCTCCTCATGGATATGATTTTGTATCTAAAGCTGAGGTATTTTCACTAAATACCAAGGTTTGGAAAGAACTTAAACTAAGTTGTAATTTTTCCTACAAAAGACATGACATGTTTTCAGGAGTTGTTGTAAATGAATGTTTGCATTGGAAGGCTGTTAAAAGCAACACTTATGAGGATGAAATGGTCATTTTGTCATATCATTTAGGGGAAGAGACATTTCAAGAATTTGAATGCCCAAAGTTTCAAGGTGAAGGGGGAGTTGATCTAACTGAATGTATTGGTGAGTTTAAAGGTAAACTTGGACTTTTTGCGTTTTGTCCAGTTTTTGATTATTGGTTTGGAATAGGGGGACAACCTTGTCACCTTTGGGTGATGGAGGAATATGGTGTGAAGAATTCTTGGAGTTGTCATGCTACTGTTTCACTAGGAATAATGATACATAGGCCAATGGCTTTCACAAGAAATGGAGAAATTATAATGCAAGATAGATTTGGAAGGATATATAGCTATGATTTCAACAATAATAAGCTAATTGATTTGCACATCCAAGATGAGGAGCATGATTTGAATTTTGTCAACTTCACTGATAGCCTAGTTTTGGTTGATCTTAATGACAAACCAATGGGACAAGAAGGGGCTTTTCCTGCAAATGGTGGTGGTGTTGATTTTGATGGCTACATGCATATGGAAGAAGTAAGCTTTTTTAGCCTTGTCTTTTTATTTTCGCTTACTATTATTATTATTTTTTCACTGGTCCGAATAATCTGGATTCTTTTTTCAATAATTTCCTAATTATTATGAGTTAAGATTGCAGGTCAACATGGTCGATAAAGATGATCCTCCAGGCGATACACCTATGGATGTTGAAAAATAGCTAAAGGATTAAATGCAAATCAGAAGTTTATTAGCCAAGCCATAGTTTAGTAGCCAGAAATGGCATTTGGTTTATGCTAGATAGTCTGTTTTAGTAAGAAAATGAGTTACGTACATCATCGATCAACAGCAATATTGATTGTTAGGGTCAAGAGTCTTTATGGCCCATAACCCTTTAAATCAAGAATGTTGTGGTTCCTTTTTAACATGTATCTCATCTCTTTTTCTTGTATTTTTGTCTTTCCTTTTCAATGAAATGGCATTGGCTCTCTGGTTTCGCATCTTATATGTATCTCCATTGTCCATGTCGTTTAATTAAGTCCGTCTAATTTCAATATTATAAAATTTAGTTTCTCTAGCACTACAAATTCTCTACATTTTCTTCTAGCATATAAATCTCTAAGAAGAAAAAATTACTCTTAGCAAATATTAATACATTGAATTTCTTTGCTGAGAATCAAAGAGGACGACAACCTCTATTTGACCTTCCCTTAAAAACTTGAAATATCAACTGCCTAAAAGAAAAGAAATCAATACTTCTTTTCTGAAAGAAAAAAATAATAGTACTTCTTTTCAGATTAGTCTAGTGAAGATAAATAGCTGGTTAAGAGACATAGGATTTAGCTTCACTTTGTCAAATTGTTTCCTGGTCAAGGTAAATCAGGTTTCTTTCCCATGCTATGAATTCTTTTGAGAAACTTCAACTTGTCTAACTAGTAAAGGTCCAGGAGTTCATGATAATATCTTTTTTGAGCTTTAGTTTCAAGTGTCTTAAAAACACACCTGCTAACTAGCTTTTTTTTTCCCCCGTGTGCTAACACGCAAAAGTAATACAAGATGGAGTTATCTCCTAATGAAACTGCAATTTACTAATTTGTCATTCAACGAGTACAAAATATAAGCACCAGGCAAGTATAAAAAACTGCACTTATTACAAAAGAATATCCCATGTCCACCCCTCTATATTAAAAGGTAAAGACGACACTAAAATTCTGTATTAAAAGAAAAGGAAAAAAAAGGAATACATGGGGGAAGAAAAACCACTCCAAAGAATCTAAAGATCTATGGGTTGAAAAGAGATGGCATTTTTCTTACGAACCAAATACCCAACAAAAATGGATACACCAAATGAAACAACAGATAAGAGAAAAGCAAAACCACTGGCAGCATCCCAAGAGCTTCTTGATACCACTTTGATACCTGCAGATGAACCCGGAGGAACATCTAGAGGTACCCAGTCACAGCTAACCGTGTAATGTCCTGATCCGTGCCATGGATTTCCATCCTCCGGATACCAAAATGCAGCTGAAAACTTGCTCGTCTGACCAATAGTGAATTGCACATCCTATGTACATCCCAAAAGCAAACTTGAGTTGTGCAATCATGTTTTAACATACTTTTGTCTCTAGATACTAATCAAGTGAAAAACATGCATGAAATAGCATGCTAACGGACCTGTTAAGAATATTGTAGATATTGTGTATCAATTAGGATCGGTTAGAATTAATGAGGTTGACTCTTTCCCGTAATGATGTACATAGTCTATGATCTTCTTTCTTATTTTAGAACTTGTATACTTCACTATTTAAAATCAAGTAGTGTTTTCTCTCAATTTTCTCTTCCTTGTTTCATTCCTCACAAGATATTATGTTTAGTGTCCTATGAAATAAGAGTAAGATTGAGTTTCCTATTTCCTTTTGCATCTCATTGATGAAGTTCATACACACATTGCAAGTCCGCCAATGGTGGTGGGACATTAGAGTGCTTATATTAACTGCCAGGGTTACTAATGCATGACAAAATTTCACTAAGACTTGAGACGAAAGGCATCACTGTGATAGAATACCTGCTGAAGACGATCCATGGTTCTCAGGGCCCTAGAAAACTCAAAATAGAATGTTCCCTTCTGACCATTTGTTGAATAAGGACTGTCCTCGTCAGAATAACCTGTCAATAGAAGACCATTTGAGAAATGAAGAGGCCAGAAGAAGAACCAACTTTACTACATCATTAAGAAGGATCAATGAAGAAATCCAAGGTGATTTGACAAGGGTGAGAGATGTTACCCGAATGGGTTGCAAAACTGCTATGCCACCATGCACCCCTCCAGTCATTCTGGGCAGCGGTATCATTTCCTAAGAAAGAAAATATAAGGCTTAGAACTAACAAAGTCAAGTCAAAAGTCGTAGGTCAAGAACGTTGTGTCCTGCTAATAGAATTTATCAGAAACAAGATCGCCAAAATCACAAGAATGAAGTGCATGCATATATAGTCGAAGAAGACACTGATGTCAAATTTGTGTACGCTAAAGTCATCTTTCTTAACAGACCACTTCTGATTCAACAAGCAGCGACTAGGATGACCCCAAGGTTTCTTCGCCTTGCAGACTGGCTTAGACCTTATGACACCCATCCATCTGATATTACATTTCTACCATGGTAGCAACCAGATAGACCATTAGAAATGCTATCTGATATTTTGATCTATCGTTCAAGTTATAGGTATATATTTAATTCATCAAAATGCAATTTCCCTTTTAGTTGAACCTCCCAGAACACGGCACCAGTTCTTTGGGTGTGTGGTAACTGGTAAGTGTCGATGAAAGGGAAAAGAGAAACAAAAGCCCAACCTAAATGGTTATTGGTTATAGATCGGAAAATAATGAACCACATGACTTAAGGTCAGCTGTAAATTTTGTAACCTCAGTATTTGCATCAGTTAAAATGATATTAAGTTTCTTACTGTTCCTTTTTTTCCTGTTTACTTCTCTCCCCTTTTTGTCTCTCTATCTGCACAAGGTAGGGGTAATGTCTACGTAAACACTACCCTCCCCAGACCCCACGTGTGGGAATATACTGGGTATGTTGTTGTTGTACTTCTCTCCCCCTTTACCAAGGACAATAAAGATCCAAGTATTAATTGACAGGGGATAAATATAATTTTCTATTACACATTCCAGAGTTTGAGTGCCAATAACTCCAACGACATTCTTACCTGCAGGACTAATCCCGTCCAGATTCTGACAGTGTGGGTTCCAAGCATACAAATCAACCAGATGACCAAATCTGTTAACCAACAGAGTAAAGATAATTTCGAGAATTTTGTAAATGTTAACAAATTTAATCGTGTACACAAATTTACCTGTCTCCCCCATTACCATCTCTGTTGTCGACTGGGTTTCCACCATACAATCTACCGGGGATAGCATTTCCAATGGAGAAGTGCATGATGTCCACTTCGTAGCCACGACAAGTCTTCTCGTTGCATGCATCAGGTGATTGTTTACACCCACCCATCTATTCCAACAAATTTAATCCATATTTTAGGCAATCGAAGATACCGAACAGAAGTACAAAAAATGTGTATTTTCCCTTTTCTGGAGAGACATTTACTTTAGCAGCTAGCATAACCCATAAATGAATGATCACAATCTTACATTATGATATGTTGCACTCTCACCAACCTGAAACATCAGTGCCACAGATGGGCAATTCTTGTCGTTTCTGCATGATTAAGAAAGAAACCCTTAGTGGTATAATACACAGTATAATGCAATTAATAAGTTAATAACGTGTTGCAGCTCTTGTACAAGTACCATGAAGAAAATATGAAGTATCTCAGACATAACATATGGAGAGTTGCCCAATCATACAATATAGAGCGTTACCCAATCATGTAACACAGTGAAACTAGCAATGAGACCAGTAGGAGCAGTTTCATTCCCCATAGTGCAAACTCTTGAAGGATGCATACATCAGCTTGTATAGAGCCCAGTTTAATGAAGATGAGGAAATTAAAGGTGCATGCTTTCCAGTCAAATAACTTGTAAAGGACGATAATGTAAATTCTACATGCATAATGCATTACCTTTCAGAACTTCTTTTGCATCTTGTACACATTTTGTGATGTAGTTAAGCATCTAAACCAAGACAGCATGATCATTATGTCTATGTAGATACCATGAAGCTACTTCTTTAAGCGTGTATTACAAGTCTCGAATACCTTGACCAAACTTCAAGTATTTCATCCCACAAGAAGAAAGAAAAACAAATCTTCCTTCTTCCTTATGAGGGGAGATAGATCAAGACATATATATGTGACATTGTGCACGTGTGTGATGTAGTTTTAAGAGGTAATCGCTCACGCTTTTATGACCAGGTTTGACCAAAGATAAGGAAAGATACTTCTGAGGGCGTATATATTTGAGCTTGGCTGGAGGTACTTTTAAAATGACTGTTACGAGGTGTAAGGAAGGTTCAGCTAAAATCATATCAAGTTCCATACCATAACTATGTGACTTGAGTAAGGAAAGAAGTAACCGCGCTTTGACTAATTAGGAAAAAATTCAAAGTGAGCTTGCACAAGAGTGACTCTAATTATGTATTTAGAATGGCAGATCGTACATATTTAATGTGCCACTAATTACAGGCTACGAGCATGAACTAGCAGATCGGCAAAAAAAGAGAAGATTCAAGTTTTTGAGTTTACGCCAGCGACCTAGAAGTTAAAACACTCGGTGATTTAACTCTTCCTATAATCAATAAAAACATAATAACTATGATATGAGGAGTAAAAAGAATTCCGACAAGCCCTCAGACTTGATGTTCCAATAAGTTTTTCTTTTCTTTTTTGGTAATGGAATAATCCAATAAGTGAGAGTTCTGAAACTAAAACCATCTCTTGCACTTGTGACAATTCACGAGTTTGAATAAGTCGCTGCCACATTTACACAAGTACAGTTGTAGAAGATAGTAGCAATGAGTAATGACTTCAGCATGATTAGGCATCCCCGCAAAATGACTTATCCACAACATGCATGAATACAAAATGGCAGACAAATAAATGATAATCCCTCTGTTTCAATTTTTTTTTTTTGATAAAGTCCCTCCGTTTCAATTTTATGTGAACCTATTTCCTTTTTAGTCCGTGCTAAAAAAAATGACCAAATTTCATATTTGAAAACAGTTTACCTTTGTCAATGATTTATAGCCACAAAAATAA